AAAAAAAAAAAACTCTTACTTCTTCAAACTGCTTGGCCTCTTGGACTTCTAAATGTCTTCTTTAACTTAAACCGGATTTGCACCGGCTCCTGACACTTTCTTTCAGGGTCTCGTAGGTGGAAAGCGCACTTCCACCAGAAGGGGGGCAAAATGCAAACAAATAAAAAAAGGAGAAAAAGGAAAAAAAAGCGAAGCAAACTTGGGGACTTGTCTCGTACCCCCTCACCCCGCCCCCTCAAAAACCCCAAAGCAATGGTAAACTGCCGCGGCTCGCTTGTTTCGGGGTGTTCTGCGGGCTGCCTGCTTTTTTCTCGGAGACTGACCCTTCCGAGGCTCGGGGGACTCCACGAGAGGCTGCTTCCCAGGTCACCTGGCGGGCTGGCGCCGGCCGGAGGGTGCCGAGTCCCCGAGCGCTCCCCGCGCTCCCCCGGCGCCGCGGGCCCAGGGCGAGCGGGCTCAGGGCCGCTGCCCAGCGCGCCCGGGTCGGAGCGGGCGCGGACGGGAGCTATAGATTGCACCGTGAAGATGGCGGAGTCCGGGTTCTCCGGGAGCTCTCGGTCTCTCTATGGCTGGGGCTGCCTCTGTACAATGGGATAAAATTCAAGTTCAAGTGCGGACGTGACGTTTAATCTGCACTAGAGACAAAAAGACCCAGAGAGTCGGAGCACTGGGGGCGACTAGCGGTGGCTTTTTAACATTGTACCCTGGAAGAGAACAAGAAAGCACACACAGAGAGAGACACGCGCGCGCACACACACACACATACACACACACACACACACACACACACACTCGCCCGTGCGCACACCCGCCGCCCAAGCCGGCCGCACGTGCAAACCGCGTTTTTGTGCGCGCCTCTTATCCCCAAACACCGGCTGCGCAAAGCGGGAGGGAGGGTGGGGGGACTGCAGGATATTTTTAAAGAAAATCCTCCCCAGGCTTCCTTCCCTCCTGGGAACAGGACCCCCTGAGAAGGGGGGCAGAGTGCTGTGTGAATGAAGTAAACTAAATCAGCGCAAATCTCCACCCCCACCCCTACCCCCAAAACGACCTGTGGACTTGGGGGGAGGAGTGGTGGAGAGGGTTAGGCAGAACCTGGGCACAGGGGTAGGTTAATCAAGAGCTTGTCTTTCCTGGAAAAGTGGCTGCTTTTACTTTTGTTTTATTAGGGAGACCGGGCTAAACTTCTTGAAAGCGTCTCCATACAAATCCTAGTTACACTCGGAGAGGGGGTGGACAGAAATAAGAGGACATAATCGGAAGCGGGGAGGGGGGGGACTTGGAGACAGGAATCTGAAACCTCTTTTAAATATCCCACAAGAGATTTTCAAGCAACTCCGTGCCCTCCTTCACCCCATTAACTCCTAGGGGTCCATCAAGGCCCGGCCCGCCAAAGCCAAGGTCCCCCAGACAGTGTGGAGCGAACAGGCGGGGCGCTCCACGTGGGAGAGAGACTCGGACTCGCTGACCCAGAAGTTAAGTGTGGCGGGATCTTTGTAGAAGGTGACTCCAGGAGGTGCCCCAGTTCCCTCCCAGTCTCCCCGACAATCACTGTGACCTGGAAGTCGCCTCCCCACCCCCACCCCCACACCCACCCCCTGGGTCCGGGATAGGACTTCATTCAAATTGCCTGTCAGACTGGGAAGGACGCAGCTGCCCTGTCAGCGTTTGATCTCCGGCCGCGGAGGACTAGGGAGTTGCAGGGGCCTGGCCCTGGCATGGGGACAAGGCCGAGCCGCAGCGCTCGCGACTCTCTACTCTCCCTCCCGCCACCAATTTCAGTTCTGATGACCTGGCCTCAGGTTGAGCGCGCGGTGCCGCCGGACCCGTCTCTGATCTCGCTACAGGGGCTGGGCTTCGCGGGGAGCCGGGCTGCACACACTGCGCCCCGCCCAGGCCCCGCTCCCGCGAGGCTCTACGGCCGGCTGCGGGCGCGCCGCCTCCCTGGGGGCCTGCTCCTCCGGGACACTTGGGCTTTTTGTTCGTCCTAGAGGCCCTGGGTGGGGCGATGGCTCCGGCAACTTCGCGCATGGCGCCCACAGGTATCTCTGCCTCCGGCCCACCTTTCCCAAATCCTAACCCCGGGTGGAGGCGGCCGGACCCTCCTCCCCAAGCTGGACAGGCGGCGCCCCCACTGCACTTTGTCCAGAGTTTAGAAGCACCTCCTCTCCTCCCATCCTGCCCACCAAGACAAATCTTTCCAGGAAAGAGGCCAAAATAAGAGGGGGGGGGACCTACATCCACCTTTAATAAACTCAAGAAGATAAACTGGCCATCTCAACTAGCCCACATTCTACCGTGGGCGCTCAATCACCTCTTTCTGAGATCTGGCCTTGAGCATGGAGTCCAGAGAGGGTTAGTAATTTGCCCAAGGGCACACAGCGAAACATGGGCAGAGCTAGACTGCAAAGCACCAGGGCGCGCCAGCTGTCCCGCGCCTCCAGTGGCTCTCGGCGCAAAATCCTGACGCGTGACTCCTGGGATAGACTACAAGCAAAGGAGACCTGGTCCTGGCTGGGGGAGGCGGGAAGCCCCGTCAGGGAAGAGAGCCCTTCGGCGGGCAGGCAGGCGGTATGAGGGTTTCAAGGTTCCTAGCTGCAGCTGCCATCCCGTACAACCGGACCTCGGGCACCAGGCAGGGGACGCACCTGCCCTACCCCCTGCAGGAAGTGGCGAGCAGCGGGCGACGCGAGCCCTAAGCAACCCGGGGCGCACGCACTTCCTTCGCTGTCCCGCGCTGCCCGGACGTCGGGAAGAAGGACGCGTGGGGCGCAGGGCCGGACACGCAGCGCGCTCCACCTCGCGGCGTCCCGGAGAGGTTGCCCTGTCAGCCCCGCACGGCCCCTGCGCCCCGCGCCCCGCGCCCCCGCCTTCCCCTCTGTTTCCTCCTCTCCTCCTCTTCTCCTGGGAGGCGGCTGGGCGCAGGCACGAGCGATCCCCAACGCAGCTCCAGTCTCCTCTTTTTGCCTCTGCCCGTCTGGCACGGGCATCATTAGCGCTGAAAGCTGTTAATGTCTGGTCTCACAGCTCCCCCTTTAGTCTTGCTGCGCTCCCTGTTTCTTGTTCCAAGCCGGATCAATAGCCGCCTCCCGGCCGACCTTGACCTTTCGCTCGACCCCGCCCGGCTCCGCAGCTGGTCCACGCTAATGTTTCCCGCTCTCTCCGTGCCCAGACAGCAGGTGGGCCCTCCGGGAGTGGGGGTGGCCGAGCTGGGCCTGCAGCCCGGTCCTCACCCTCCCTCCGGACCCTGGCTGGAGAAGGGGTTGTGGTACCCTGCTGGGGTCACTGCAGCCCCGAAGGCTTTGTTTAGAATAACAGTCCCTAAAGGGGATGCCAAGTGCTCACCTCTGCCAATAGCCGAGGAAAAAGTGCAGGCGCAGATGTGGACCTGAGCTAGGATCACGGAACCTCCGATTAGTGTCTCAGCACGTGCTGTGGACCTACTGTGCTCTGTGCTCGAAGCTGAGGCTTTGCACAGACTATAGTGTCAGATGGAAACAAATATCACACTTTCCACACTATCTTTAAACACACACATAGCAGATGTCGGAAAGCTTTTTGAACTCCCAGATATTCCCCTGCTATTTTTTTCCCCCTAGCTTCACATGCATTCCACCAGATAAACCCCCCGGTCGGTCACGGTCCCTTGAAGAGGGATGGGGGATAATTTATTTAAAGAGGAATACTTCAGAAATCAAAAATCATTTCATCCAATCAGAATGCATTTCATCAGGCTTGGGTGGGGTTCTACTTCTCTCTGTGTGCGGCCTGTAATTCGCCGTCCCTGAGGGCAAACTAAACAGAACGTTGACCCCCAAATCAGCCTTTTTGTTTCAAATGCCTTGAATGATTTTCAGTATTTAACTCAGCTGTAGGTTGGGCCCTGCCTGAGATTCTGCAATGTTATCTTTGCCTTCTGAGCTGTTATATTTTCTTATTTTTTTAACAAAAATTTGGAAAGGATCAAGATAAAAAGGATCAGTGGAAATGGAAACTCTACTGCAAAAGGAAAACTGACATTTCGTTTTTGTTTTCTTTTGAGCAAGAGTCCTCCCTCCTAGACATAGATAATTTTGCAGCCGTGCAAAGACCCAACAACACATCTTACCAAATTAGTTTGGTTTTCATGTCTAGAGCTTTAAAAAAAAAAAAAAATCCATGGAAAAATAAGGTGAATCTTTTCGTTTTCACAGGTATGAGGCAAACTCAGAAGAAAACTGCGTCTGCTAAGTTCTATTCCTCTGGATCTGCAATACACACAATCGCCTGGGAAGGTAAAGATAAATACAACCCGCTGGTTGATGAGTGGATTGGATCAGCTTCCCTTGCTTGGATTGATAGGCAATGGGAGTACCAGGCCGATCATAGGGGTGCGCGTGTGGATGAGCCCCTGGGCGGTCCTCTCCTCTTTCCTTATACTTCTAGAATCCTGAGGCGCTATCAAATCCAGAAGTATAAAGAGACAAGAGAGGCCTTTGAGCTTCCTGGCATATCTTCTAGAATTATTTTATGCCATTTCTGAAAATTACTGCAGATTTCTGGGTGCGGAAAGCGCCCGACTAAGGCTTGCTGGATACAGAGGTCTTTTGTGTGATCACCTGGGAGCGGG